TTATAATCTGGATATGTGTCTTGACCCAGGGAGAAGCACAGAGGAGGCATTGCCCCCAGTTTTCAAGTCATCCACATCAACTCTGTGACCGTGGACAACCGGCTAGACAATCTGCGACTGGTGCCAGTGGGCTGGAGCCCCAAGCCGGAGGAGATTTCCAGCAAACAGAGGTAGGAGTACAGCTGTACTGGTGTTAAAGGCTGAATTATAATCCAGTTGCTTTGTAGAAACAGAGGAATGGAACAGCTGGATTTTCTGTCTGTATGCAAAGCCAGTCTGATTCATTGAGGCCCCAGTTTGGACCCCCCCCCCCATATCCCTACATTTTAAAACAAATACTTTGAGGGTTTTGAATCACATTGTGCTCTGCTTAGTTAGCTGACCCTTTAACACTATTGAGAGATACAAGTTAAGAACCAGCTTCTTGTTTCTTAAAGAAGTAGTAGTTCAATATGTAATGTTTCTTAGAGCGTATATTTAGGTTTTTGTTGTTTAACACAGCTTACATTTCTTCCCACCTTATCCTACTTCTCCAGAGAGCAGTCTCTGTACTGGCTGGCCATCCAGCAGGTCCCAGCCGACCCTGTGGAGGAGCAGTATCTGGAGCTGAGCCGCACACGCTACTACAACGCTAACGGGGAGCTGGTAGAGGAAGAGGAGTGCTCCTGCACCTACTACGAGTGTCATTATCCTCCCTGTTCACTCATTGAGAGGAGGGTATGTATTGTAACTGGCATTCTTATTAAATGTGCATGATTTTGAATGATTTTCATCAGTTGAATGTGTAGTGAAATCAGTCCTTTTCATTTATTTAATAAGTGGGAAAACTTGTAAGCCCTTTTCCCCCCTCCATGAACTCATTCACATGCGGCCAGCAAAATTGCCACCAAGGATCGCAGCAGCACAGCATTAGCCAGACCAGGCCCAGAGCCAAAGGTGATCTTGTTCCTCGTCTTTCCACAGCTCCGGGAGTTCAACATCTGCGGTCGCTGCCAGGTGGCGCGCTACTGTGGCTCCCAGTGCCAGCAGAGGGACTGGCCTGCCCACAAGAAGCAGTGTCGCGAGCGCAAGCGGGTGCTGGCCCTCGAGTCGGAGCCTGAACGATGATCTGCCCTCATCCTCGCCTGGGAGAGGAGGAGGGAGAACGGGGGGAGGGGACAGGGTTATTAGACTTGTGGGAAGGGGAGCGGGGCTGAAGTGCAAAACGGGA